TTTAGGCAACAAAGAAAAAGCCGAGTTAACACCAGAAGAAAGCATATCGGCTATGATCAAAACTATCGGAGAGTTGAACGCAGATCACCATGGAACTTTCATAGACAGATTCGGAAAACCAATACCATTTTGAATAAGTCACTTCACGAAAAATAATGAACAATATGGTACCAAAAGTGCTGAGACATATGATTTATGAAATAAAATCATTGTAATTTTAGTCTGCCTGCTAATTTTGAGATTTTTTTTAATGGATTTTTTTTAATGATTTTTTTTAAGGTAGAGGGTGTACTATTGTTCTCGTTTTCCAGTGGCACCATCTATGGCCGAGAATTCGACTTCTGCCATACCCACGCGTCACACCCGCTTATAGGACGAACACATTCATGCATCAATTCATTCATCCACAGATCGTAATTTTGACCTGACTCAGTATCCCCAAAATAATTTGTTTTGAGAACATGGAGGATTTTGTGACCCGACAGATTTAACGTGCACCAGTCAGCCTATACTACGCGGGGATTCCTCGGTCAGCTGGATTCGAACTCCCGTTCTCACGAATGAGAGTGTCCAGCGCCCTACCAACCAGGAAATCTCAGCCCAATTTTTAGATTTATAAAACTATTTGTTACATGATGCACTAATGCCGTGCATTAATATACAGGATGTTCCGCGAACATCAACTTTAATTCATATTCGAAGAATTTTCGCCTAAAATAAAGTTAAAAAGTTATGCTCCAATTGTTAGTATTTACGCAATGAAAAAAAAAAAAACTTTGATTGTAGAGATTTTGATTAATTTTTGATTATCTTTGATTGCAGATCCTTGATTAATAGAGAGATTTTGCATAGTGTTCGTCTTATGTTAAACGTCCCGCTTTTCGTCACTGTGATTTGTAGGAAATTTTCCCGTATGCGCTGTGATGCTCAAATAAGATTAATGTTAAAATTAGGGGAAACCACAATCATACATAATCTCCCTATTGTTTTTAATAATTACCTTTTAACTCCTCCCTATTTCATTTCGGAAATCAAACATGGTTAAATGTTTTGATAGCGTTTTTAACTTTTCCTATCTTAAATATTAGTTTGTAACCCTTATTGTTTATACTTTAGGACTGCATTTTAAATCATACATATTATGGGCGGTTATAACTGAACACCCCGTACATTTCATTCTCGCAATAGACAGAAATTAGTAGTACAGTACAGAATCCGTTATCCGAAAATCAGAAAACCGGAAAACCAAAACACCGGAACAAAATTCAATAAATTTTCCCACCATTTTTTTTTAAAATTTTTTTTTCCTCGTAAAATTTTAGGATTTTTCTTTTTTGAAAGATGTTTACCTTACCATCATTTTGGAAATAATCATTAGTGTATTTCTTCTTTTTAAGATTATTTCCAAATATTTTTCTTTTTTTTAGTTGCTTTTAACAATAAAAAAAACGGCTTTTTGTAGCGATTCACCAGATGGGGATGAACTCTGCTCGCCATGTGGCAGTACAAAACTTTCCCCTCAAGGAAATGACTTTTCTATAAGATGGCAACATTTCTGTGTTAAAACCTTAGTTTCAAGAAATGGCAACAGGTCAATTGGGTATCATATANAATTATCATTTAAAATTAAGTACATTAAATCGACGTAAAAATGTGACTATCTTATTATTTAAAAAATTTTCGATCATTGCTAAATTAAATAGTAAAGAATGATAAATAAATATAAAAAAAATATTTTTCAAATAGGATCTTTGAATAAACGACTTAAGAAATTGCGTGTAAGACTACCTTTTTGAAGCTTTTCATCAATTTCGAAAGACGAAGTAAAATTAACATAACAAAACATTCAACGGCACTCCCCAAATTATTGAGATCATACTTTCATCATATTTTCCAGGTTGTGGCTATAACCTCACCTCAATATTAAGGATACAAAATTCAAAATTTGTCGAATCAAAGATATATTTATTCCGAGAAAATTAAAGTATGTTTCTGTGTCTAATGCATAAAATATCGTTTTTTATACCTTAAAATATCGTTTGTGCTAATTAATTAGCATAATTGATGTCACGCTCGTGAATAGTTGTGTCCTAGTACAAGAAAATCCGATCCTTTAATCAAAATGTATTCAAGGAGTTCCGACCCCCCCCCGCACTGTACAGAAAATAATATCAACTATGAAACCAATATCTATTAATAAAAGCAAACTTTTATCAACATATTTTAAGGATATTAATGCTTTAATTACTTTAACTTTTTCATTAATTACACATAAAAACGTGAAAAATATGGGATAAATTGAGTAAAAAAATAGAAATTTTAGAGCATGTACAATATTTGTGAATTACAACTGTTAACAATTAGTAAAAAGTAAAGAGCCGAAATTTTGTTTTTCACAATGCATACTTTAAATATGCTAATTAATTAGTGTTAGAAGTAGTGTTACAAGACCTATAAATGATTTTGCGGCCGACCACAAACTTGTTTTCAATGCCTTAAAATAGGTGACTTCATTTTTTACCACAAATAGACGTTTATACAACTACCAACCTCAGATTTCCATCGGCGGAGTTCGGAGGCCTTATGACAAAAACCCTAAATACTTGGGTTTTATCGTAGACCCAGAGTTTCATTGTAATAGGCACATTGACTCCCTGGTTAACAGGAGTAGAAGTCGCAGGCAGAGACTGGGGGGCCGACTCAGCCACCCTTAGAACAACCTATACTGCCCACGTAAGACTCATATTGGAATACGGTTTCCAGGTCTACTCCTGTGCTTCGGCCAGTAATCTCCAGAAGCTTGAAAAAGTTCAGCATAGTGCAGCCAGAATTATTTCTGGATTGCGTAACAGTTGCCCGATTCATATTCTACCATATGAAACTAATTTACAGCCCTTGGAAATGAGAAGGGAGTCTAACCTTGTTAAATACTATGCGAAATTGGCTAACCTGGGCACTCAGAATCGGACTGCTGAATTTTTTGCTTAATTGGCAAAATTATCAAAGATTAAAAAGGGACATCCCTCTTTCTCGAGCCCTTTCGCTTGATGCAGTAGAGTTCAATGTTGATCCGCAATTCATCTGCAGTCCTGTATGTCCTATTGCGGGCTTGCCCAGAGTGTTTTTCCATACTACACTGCTCTCCGAGGTTACTAAGGGCAACCACCCTCCGGAGTACTTGAAGCAATTGGCTTTGGAGATAATAAACCTTGTCCCTGCTGACGACCTTAAAATCTATACGGATGGTAGCGGTGACGATCATCACCACGCCGGCAGTGGAATTTACACTATATATCCTGCTGAAGTTCACGAATCAAGATCACTAAGAAACCCAGATTTCTGTTTAGTGTTTCGCAGTGAACTTATTGCTATTCAAACAGGTCTGGAAAATATCAGGACTAGAGCCACTTTTGGGAATGTCTGGATTGCCTGGATATCACCATGGAAGAGGTTCTTGAGAGACCTCTCCTTTTCCTCGATTTTTTGAAGATTCACGGCCTCATGGATCTGGTATAGCTCCGCTATCCCAGCTGGGATTGGAAACAACACAACACAAGTAGCGATATCGAACATAATAGCGTACTTTCTTTGAATAAAAATAGCAATTTTTTTTGGTGATTTGGACTTTTGACTATCAAAATATGGGAGGGAGGAAGTTGTCACTTGAAAAATATAGTTCCAACAGTTAATTCTGGAGAACGGTCAAAAGCTTGACCTAGAATAATAATTATTTTTACTTAGTACATTTTTAGTTTAGTACCGAGACTTTGAATAGTTTCCGAGGGGTAGAAGAAAAATTAAAAAATGCGACGTCTTTTACTTTTTTAACTATTAGGAATTATGTTAGAGGTTTTGCTCATATTTTTGGTTAGGCCTTTAAAATTTGCATTATTTGAAAGTAAGCCAAAAATCCTTAGAATTAAAAGTTTTTTCTTTACCATTCTTAAAATAAAAATTATCTGTTTCTTTTTTTTAATCAAATTTTCTTTGTGTAAATGATTTTTATAAATGATCTTAAGAGTATTTTTTAACTTGCAGAATTAGATAAGACTTAAAACACAACGTTAGTTCCAAAGATATATATCTTTTACTTTAATCAAATTTTCTTTGTGTAAATGATTTTTATAAATGATCTTAAGAGTATTTTTTAACTTGCAGAATTGGATAAGACTAAAAACACAACGTTAGTTCCAAAGATATGACGTGCAACATAGAATAAATCTGAAATAAAAATTAAAAAAATACTTAGCTTATAATAAACCTTGCTGTTCACATATGCTGCGACAGTACCGCCCCAGGTTTCAAACCCGCGCTCTTGGAATTATCAGTCTATTGCTTCATACCATACCACTGCTAATTCAAGCTTTTAAGTAATTTCCGAGAATATGCATTAAGTGCACTTGCACAATAGGTCCAATTATGCCCTATTGTGCTAGCCCTAATTCGTTTGGGATTTTGTCACTCAGTGTGGTAATGTAATACGTTATAACAATTACAACAATTAAAGGTTAATATTATGAGAAGATATGGGTAATGATGACCCATATCTTCTGATAATATTAACCTTGTATGTATGTTTAGAACATGAGCTATATACTGACGCAACAATGAGACCCAATATTACGCTTTCCTTAATGTATTTAAAGGGTATTCTTCAAAACATTGAAACTGCATTTTAGTACGTGATAATCCAATAATTCTATTAAAAGTTATTTAAGATGTTGCCATTTTGTTCTTTGTCTATTTCACAATGAACGCAGCGTGTTTTCCTCTGACTTTTTCCTGATTCGTTTATCAGTTAGATGAGATCAATAAATTGTACAAAAAAAAAAATTATAAAAACGAACNAAAAAAAAAAAAAAAAAAAAAGAAATTGATAAAAACAAACTGGGTCGTTTAAAGTTTATTTTAAGTAAGAAGAAAACAAAAATTCCTTTCATTCACCGTCAAAATAAAAAGTAGCTATATTATAAACAAGAAAATAAAAAGAAGAGTCAAAACTTTTCTATACAATTACGTGACCTTTGCTCTGCAGCACTTCCGTATTTCCAAGGACGAAACCGTTCGCGAACGTGCTAGTCATTCGACGTTCTTCAGTTGCAGTCGAATTCGGCAACATTGAGGACGCCAGGTATGAAATACAAGAATATTTTTATTACCGGCGCCAATAAAGGAATTGGCTATGAGTTCATACGGCAATTCATATCCAACGATGACCCACCGAGCATTATTTTCGCCACTTATCGTAACGCTAGCACACTGCAGGTAATTTGTTTCTAATATTTATTATTTTTGTTATTAAAGGTAAACTCGCCATGCTTTATTTTTGGCAAGAACTACCAGTCACACCTGTCTAATTTTATTTATCTGTATGATTATGCATTATTATTATTTAATAGTTTAACTCATGAGTTTAGCCCTTAAAACTAAAAATTTTAACTCCAAATTAGTGGGATATTGAACTCGACAAAATATAATAATAAACTAAGTTTGTTTTCATTAACAAATCTAGTATTTATTTATTTTTTTAATCTGGTAGTGTTAATTTAATTTTAAGCAAACTGTATCTTTTAATATTATGCAATTATTTCAATCAGGATCTTAAAACTCTACAAGAGAAATCCGAAATAACAAAAGTAGTCTTGATAAAAATGGGTAAGTATTATTTATTCTTATAATCAGTATTTTAAAGATAAGTTTCCAATTCTTTTTCTCTGCCTGATAAGAAAAATATTTTTATATTGTTTCAGAATTAGAATGCTAATTTTCTCAGAGATTTTGAACATTAATTATTTAATGTGTTTTACTGTTAAAGTACTCCGTTAATTATTTTCAGTAAATTTCGGCTAAATATGTCGTTATTTATTTTAAAGAAGTTATTACGCTAGTTAAATCACGATATGCATAAAAGGCTTCAATACTGCTAACCGCTTTTCGAACTATTTCCAACTTTTCCTATTTTGAGAAAAAAATTATTTTCATGGAATAGAGCAGCGATTCCCAAAAGGTGTTACGCGGAACCTTAGAGTTCTGAGGATAGGATACTACGGTTCCGAGAATGAAGATTTTATATATATATATATATATATATTAGCCCTGTGCAGTGGCACACACCTGTAATCCCAGCTACT